GCTGTCACCAGGCTGGAGTGCAGTGGCTCAATCTCGGCTCACTGCAACCTCCACCTCCTGGGTTCAAGCGATTCTTCTGCCTCAGCCTCCCGAGTAGCTGGGACCACAGGTGCATCCCACCACACCCGGCTAATTTTTTTTTGTATTTTTAGTAGAGATGGGGTTTCACTGTGTTGGCCAGGATGGTCTTGATCTCTTGACCTCGTGATCCGCCCGCCTCGGCCTCCCAAAGTGCTGTGATTACAGGCATGAGCCACCGCTCCTGGCCTTTTTTCTTTTTTTTTGAGACAGTCTCCCTGTGTTGCCCAGGCTGGAGTACAGTGGTGTGATCTCGGCTCACTGCAACCTCTGAGTCCTGGGTTCGAGCGATTCTCCCTCCTCAGCCTCCCAAGTAACTGGGACTACAGGTGATTGCCACCACACCTGGATAATTTTTGTATTTTTAGTAGAGATGGAGTTTCACCATTTTGGCCAGGATGGTCTCTATCTCCTGACCTCATGATTTGCCTGCCTCGGCCTCCCAAAGTGCTGAAATTACAGGCATGAGCCACTGTGCCTGGCCTATTCTTTACTATTTCAGCATAACCTGTGAGAAAGTTATCTTTGCATGGAATAAAATGGTAAGACAATAGATGAGTACAGACTGCTTTAAAAAGAACAGACTGTTTAAAGGTACTCTTTTCATTTCTACATTATCATTGAAAACAAACACTGCTTGGGGCAGTGGTTTTATGTATGTATGTAGGTATGTTTTGATTAATTAATTGACAGAGTCTTTCTCTATCACCCAGGCATGAGTGCAGTGGTGTGATCACAGCTCACTGCAGCCTCAACCTCCTGGGCTTAAGTGATCCTCATGCTTCAGCCACCTGAGGAGCTGGGACCACAGGCGTGCACCACCACAGCTAATTAATTTTTTTGTTTTAAGAGATAGGATCTCTCTGTGTTGCACAGGCTTGTGTCTCAAATTCCTGGGCTCAAGCAACCCTCCTGCCTCAACCTCCCAAAGTGCTGGGATTATAGGTGTAAGCCACCATGCCGAGCCTTCTGTGCTAATTTAAAATAATTCCATTTTATTCATTAACTCAGCCTCTTTCAGGCAATGCATGGTTAGACTTTTACTAGAAAGTAAATTATTTATTTTACAAAATCACTATGATTAAGACTGCACGTGAGGGCTTTGACGTGACTTGCAAATGATTCATTAATAAATGAGTGATTGAGAGAGCCTGGCAGGTAGAGAACAAGGATTATTATAGTTTCTCAGAAGACATGGGACAATTTCAATAAGGAGGAAATGGTCAGTGAAGTCAAATACACTGAGAAGTTAAAGTAAGTGAGAGTTGATAAAAATTTGTTTGATCTCATGAGACAATTTTGACTTTTGAGAAAAAATCAGTAGAATAAAGGAAATGGAGGTGGTTAGCGGTATTTAGGAGGGAGTAGAAGAGGCGGAGATGTGCCATTGGTTTTAGACTATTCTTTTGGGGAGGTGGGCCCTGAATGAAAGACACAAAATCATAGGGACACTGTAGAAACATATAAAATTATCTTGGTTGACGGAGATTTAAAGAGGATGGTAAGAGAATACTATGGGAGATAGGTTTAAAAAGGTTGAATCACTCTGATTTAGATAATTATTAGCTTTGAACTTCATAAGTATTGTTTTACTCCTCCAAACATTATTTTTAGTTCTTCAATAATTTATCATATCCTTAGAATCTAAGTAAAAAACACATTATAATTCATCTGAGTTTTAGGATTAGGCCACATTTGGCTTAGGTGTAAGACTTCATGAAAGGTTAAGAATTGGCATAAATAGCTCAAAGGTCAGAATAAGGTATTAAAATGAAATAAAAGAACATGGCTATCTTGTATGGATCAAATGAGCAGATGCATCTCTGCATTTAATTCAGAAGAATTTATTTAGAACTTCTCTATTGTCTGCTTTTCTCAGGGATGTAAGTTGACCTAGCATTTGCTAGCTTTAGAGACACCCCTGCCTTCCTAATATTAATGGTTGAGTTTCAGCCTCTGAAGACCAGCTTTTAGTCTCTGCCCAGTATCCTGAATATTCCTAGCAAACTCATTTTCTGTCATCATGGGCAACAGCCAGGATTTTAGTGGCCACAAACCATGATGATTATGACTAGGAAGACTTACAAAACGTACTACCTGTTTCTGGAAAATAGTTGAGTGCCTAAGAACAGCTGATACCTGAGATGTAGAAGTTTCAAATGTTAAAACTGTGGCTGATTAATATACTTGGTATGCTTTCAAGGATCAAACATGAATTTTAAAATGAAATGTTAGAGAAGTTCTTTCTGGCTACTAATCTGTGAGGAATTACTGGGACCCCTTAATGGCCTGAGGAGGTAATGTATACTGAAATACAAGGCTTCTCTTGGCAGTCAGGGATAACCCTAAGCAAATTGTGAAGGAATGGCATTTCTAGAAGTACATGCAGTTTTCTTCTCTGTGACCTGTTCTCAGAAAAGAATCTCATTAGTTTATTCACATTAAGGACTATAATTAGAATTGTATTTTTATGGGGCTTAACATGTTTAAGAGCGTTTGGTGTTTACCCGAGGCAGCAGCTTTCATTAACATTTATTGACCACCTACTTTGTTTAGGTCGCTCTGGTGATACGAGGTTTCTGTTCAACAATTAAGAAATCCTCTGCTGGGCGCAGTGGCTCTCGCCTGTAATCCTAGCACTGTGGGAGGCCGAAGTGGGTAGATCACAAGGTCAAGAGTTCAAGACCAATCTGACCAATATGGTAAAACCTCGTCTCTACTAAAAATACAAAAACATGAGCCAGGCATGGTGGTGCACATCTGTACTCCCAGCTACTCGGGAGGCTAAGGCAGGAGAATCGCTTGAACCCGGGAGGCAGAGGTTGTGGTAAGCAGAGATCATGCCACTGTACTCTAGCCTGGATGACAGAGTGAGACTCCATCTCAAAA